TTACTATGGATATGAAGAAAGAGATCATTGCTAAGTATGAAAGTGGAGTGCATGTCTCCGAGCTGGCCAGGCTGTACACAAAACCCCAATCAACCATCGCTACTATTGTGGCCAAGAAAATGGCAATCAAGGAAGCTGTTCTTGCCAAAGGTGCAACTATGTTTTCGAAACTGAGATCGCAAGTGATAGAAGATGTTGAGAGACTGTTATTGATATGGATAAACGAAAAACAGATAGCAGGAGATAGCATCTCTCAAGCGATCATATGTGAAAAGGCTAGGAAGTTGCATGACGATTTAATTAGAAAAATGCCAACAACTAGGGGTTTGATGTGAGTGAATTTAAAGGGCCCAGCAAAGGTTGGTTTGAGAGTTTTTAAGAATCGTAGTGGCATACATAGTGTGATAAGGCATGGTGAGGCTGCCAGTTTGGACCAAAAAGCAGGCTGAAAAATATGTGCAGGAATTCAAGGAGTACATAGACAGTGAAGGACTGAAACCTGAACAAGTGTTTAATGGTGACACTGACAATGTTGTGAAACACGTTAGGAATGTCATAAAGGAACGAGAGGTACAGGCCTCTATGGGCAGATATGTTGTGCGACAGAGGTCCAGTGACTCTCAAGCTGGTCCTAGTGGCATTAAAAGAGGGAAGTAACCCCGAAAAAGGACTTGCCACCTCAAGTCCTAATGGAAGGGGATTCCCCTTCTAAACACTAAGACCATCAACACACTCCCCTCTTCCCATCCCATCAATCATCACCAGATCTTCAGTAAAGGTAAGTGTCATGTAACTGTGCATGTCTTCTTCAGTTTGTGTGTATTAAAATTAATATTTCATGTGTTAATTTTTTTTTTTCAATACTTTTGGGTGTCTTGCACGGATTAATTTGATTTCCATTATTTCTTATGGGGAAAATTAACTTGACTAACGATTATTTTGACTAACGATGAGCTCTCGGGAACGGATTAATATCGCTGGTTGAGGGTCCACTGTATTCTCTTTTTATATTCCTATTTTATATTTATAATTTACCATTACTTGCATACTATTATAAACTATTATTATAGAACTTGTGGGAGTTTTTAAGGTTACCTGTATGAACCTCATCATTATATTCACACAAATAATATCATTGGGAGGTGACTACCATATATTATTTACAGTAGGGTCAAGTTTAACTATTGTTTTAATGTTATTTTGTTTTGAGATATGTGTATCGCATTTTGAGGTGTTAAGTTGTTGTTATTTATGATGTGAAAATTTGTCTGGACTGCCTCCAAGTGAGTCACCTACCCTGGCAAACTCTGTTGACACCGAGCTCTGAAGTGGGTACCTCAGCCTCAAAAGTGGCTTATTGGACAGATTTTCACAAATGATTGATGTTGCAAGAAACTCGCATGCATGCACATATAAAGGACTAACTTACTTGGTGTTGTAGCATATATCCTGATCTTCAACTTCCCTAAGCTTAGCCTTAGCCCCTTTGGACTTCCCCTCAGAAACCACGTGCAACTGGGAGCCTTAATTCCTGCAATATTCAATCGTTATTAGTGACCTGCCTGCACCTCAGAAATTCCTATATCCAAGAGGGTGTGTATCCCCTAGTACAACTATGCAGACACGGACACTAGCTTCTATATAGACAAGAGACACTGGTACTTACTGGGCATGCACTCCCAGCTGCAACACAGGCCCACAGATCAACTCACTCACAAACTCCCCAGGGCACTGGCCAGAAATCTACGAGATAAAGTGGAGGTTTTGTCTTACTGTATGGGCCTGACGGAGGGAGGTCATCTATGGTACATCGAGGTGCCTTACCAGAGTTGGTCCGACAGAAACGGGCCGTCGATTCGAAAAATTTCCGCACCCATAGAGGAAGGCCAGAAGCATAGTCAAAGGAGAGCGGAGCAGATAAATGGAAGGAGTCATTCTAGTACCTTGGTACCTGAATGGGTGAGGAAACCGCACTAGGCAAGAGGCACAGAGGCATAGGAGTGTCTTGAAGATGGTCCTAAGACAGGCGGGTCAGAATGGAGTGCGGTATCAAGAAGGGGCCCGGGGGTAAGCAGGTTCAAGGTACTAGGGCGTGCCATGGTTAGTTACATCTTTCTTTTTGTTTTTAGAAAAAAAAAGAAAGAAGAAAAGAACAATAAAATGAAAAAAAAAGAAAAAAAGTGGGGACGTGGGTAGGGATAGTTTCCTAGGAGACAAATGAAAGGGCCAGAAATCTCCCCCACGCCAAGAGACCTCAGCACTGCAAGTAGCACAGATGCAGCATGGAACCCTGCCATACCCTACCTAACAATGCCAGTAAACCAGCAATCCATGATAGCGACCTCACATCTTGCCGAGCTACCTCGGTGGACAAAAGAGAGGGCGGCCGAATATATCTGCCACCAAGCATACCTCCTTTCGTCCCCCTCCCCAGGAACTCCGAAAGGTGGTCTTTCCAGAGATACACCCTGTCGCCAAGAGACACCCCAAAGCACCCTCCGGGATACCGGAAGAGGGATCGGACATCCCCCGGCCATTTCCAGATTCCACGGCAAACTACGCCACCGCCAAGAACTCCTCAACGGAATGGATGGACCCCGGTACCCTTTCCCCTACCTAGAACTAGCGTGCATGTGGGAAAAAATTCACAGTGCCCAAAGGACGGGCAAAAGGGAGGGGTGGGGAGGTGAGGAGGAAAGGAAAAGGGAGGATGGAAGTCGGAAGGATGGGATAGGGGGAGGGGGATTGGGGTAATTAGTTCGGTCATGAGGAAGGAGACCAACAGGTCTAATTCCCTCAGACCAAGAGCCTCTCATCACAACAAAGAGCCCGCCTTGAATGAGGCTGTGTAGCAAAGTTATGGAATATAATTGAGTGGAGCGTGGTACGAAGGTAGAGGAATGTATGGAATAATATGTGTTGACTGTGGGTACAAAGGTATGGAATAAATGATGTGGTACGTGTACAAAGGGTATGGAATAAAGTGGTGGGACAGTGGACAAAAGGTATGGAATATATGTGTGGGTACTTGTGTTTACAAAGGTATGGAAAAATGTGTGGGACTGTGTACAATAGGTAAGAGCATTTGAAAACTTAATCTAGTTTTTATGGGGGGGGGGGGGGGGGGGGGGGGGGGGGGGAGGGGGGGGGAGGGGGGGGGGGGGGGGGGGGGGATATCTAAGGGTAGGAAGACAAATAAAAGCCATTGCGGTTGAAAAAGTTCCAATCTTAAAAAATAGTAATTAAATAATAATTGAGAGTTGCCACAGAAGTTTGAAGGTGAAACTGATATCATTTACAAAAAGATAGTGTTGTAAAGAAGGAAATTGATTCGATCAAAGTTATGGGATTTGAAAGGTAATAAGGAAGAAAAGTTTGGAGGTAAGGATTAAAATCTGGAGCATAGTCGAACTGGATGTATTAATGACACTCAGAGTGAATGTATCAACTGATGGTGTTGACGACGCATGTAAGTCACGGAATAAATGAGAGAGGCAGAATATTACTTGGTGTCTAAAGGAAAAAAAAAAATCTAAGTAAATTTTACCTGTTGCTGTTTTGCGATGATTGATTTTAAAGTTGCAAGTAATATGATTAATAGAAGCACTGAAACAATTTATGATAACACTCAGCGATTGTATGTAAAATTAACGGCAAGAAAATGAAACAAGAATTGAAAGACAACAATGATTGTATGAAGGACATAATTCAAAGATCCAAAAGTACGTATAGAGATGATTTTATTTAATAAAGGATCGCGTGTGAAACAGAGCATCATGTGAGTATGAGGAACTCTTTGACACAGGATCGAGAGTGTGAACAGAGCATCATGTGATGAAGAGCGTCTTGGACAAGATCAGATGATGAAACAGAGCATCATGTGGTGTAGAGGACGTCTTGGACACAGGATCGAGTGTGAAACAGAGCATCATGTGGTGTAGAGGACGTCTTGGACACATGATCGAGAGTGAAACAAGAGCATCATGTGGGGTAGAGACGTCTTGACACAGGATCGAGTGTGAACAAAGCATCATGTGGTGTAGAGGACGTCTTGGACACATTGTTGCTTGAAATGCTCGTCCAAAATTAAAGTCAGTTTAATTTATTGTAAAACATACAGCGGAAGAGTTTGCGATTAAGACAGAACTTAGCGAGAGAACTCTAAGTTTGATGTCTACCATACACTGTGACGGAAGTGAAGTCATCAATGCTCTCTGTACATATTACAGTCCATTTAAGTGAACTTCAAGTATAACCGGTAATAAAACATGTATATTTTAGCAGAGACGTAATCCTCTACATAGAGTGAATCAAACCTTACTTGTTGGAGTCACACCTTCCTTGGTGATTCACCTTCAGCACTGTGTCGAGTCACCCTCACTTGTTTGGAAGTTCACCCTTCCTTGGTGATTCACCTTGCGAGCGTGGAGGTCACCCTCACTTGTGGAGTCACCCTTCCTTGGTTGATTCACCTTGCACTGGTGAGGTCACTCCTACTTTGTTGTGAGTCCACCCTTCCTTGGTGATTCACCTTGCCTTGATGGTGCACCCCTCTCTTTTGTATTGTTAACCTAACTTGGTGAGTCGCCCCTCTTTATACTGATTCTAGTCTTCTTTGGTCGGTACATTACTTGAAGATTTATCTGGCGTATTCTCCGTTGTCTTGAGTGATTCCACCAAGTTATAAATTCTTTCACAATCCTAAATAACTTTTTAAAAGTTATTAAAAATTTTATTACAAAATGTCTCTGCAAATTTCTGTACTTACATACTTGTGGTATAATCTAGAACAGTAAATAAAATTTTACCTCTGAATGATGATAGATATGGGAGCAGGTAGCAGCAGTGTTATGGATGGATATTGACCTAGAATGAGTGTCACATTAATAAGCTTTCTCCTCTCGTTCAGTAACAATGCCGAGAGACATTCTCCCATATTAGATTGTCTATCATTACGGATAGTGCATCAGATTTCTATATCTGTTCGATATCGCATCATTTATCATGCAAATGCTTCTTCTCCAATTATTGTACCATCCTCGATGTTCCTCTGAAGTTCCTGATGAACGGAACGAGCAAAATCCCAGAATTTGTCAAGTACATTTCTAGAAGTATCGATGCACTGAAGTAAAGGCTTCAGTATGTGGCACCCAAGAGATCGAGATACGTCTCCTTTCCAGTATCTTCTCATGTTGATGAGATGACCGACACGTATGTTGTAAGTATCTTGAACAATACCTTTCTCAGTTAAGAGGTCAGTCAACGCTGCACCAGTAAGAGCAGTGAAGGCAGAGTGAACTGTAACTCTCTCAGCCCGACATTTATGAATAAAACTTTTGGTGGTGGAACGTCCAGTTTGTTCTCGCTCCACGAGAAGCTTCACTCCTCTATTTCCTTTGGCATTTGATTTATTAGTTGGAAGAAAGACTTCATCTCCTGCTGTAAGTTAGTTCCATCAGTCAATTTCTTTATCAATTTTGGGTTAGCTTCAATAAGAGCTTTTCTGGCTAACAACAGCTCCATAGTCTGTTTAGGGGAGACGTGTTCTCCTAGTTGATCATTATTAACTGGTTTGCCAGAAATAACGTCATTGAGTAGCGTGACAGTCCAGCCACAAATCTTCATAGCTGTCCAACCATCTACAATGCCATGATGAAAGCCCACGAACAACTGATGTGAATGCCGGAAGAATACGGATCTATCATCAGTTTTATGTGCTGACGTCTGGATACTCTGACAGCAACTTACATCAGACATCAGCCTGGCACACCACAGAGGACCAGTAGCTGAATTGTATCGATACGTTCGCAGGCGTTCCATTACAGAATAAACATTGCTTTCAGGAACTACCTGTGGATTAACTTAAATAAATTAGTCTCACTCATGTTTAAGCATATAAAAATAAATATAAATATATATATATATTATAACTATATATAAGATAAATATATATTATATGTCGTGCCGAAATGTTAAAAACTGGTCAAATTAGCAGAAACTCATTTAATTAAATCCTTCTAAAATTTCCTCTTAAATCGATTAAAGAAATATTTTTTCATTAATGCCTAAGTAAAAAAGTTAATTTTGCTCCAATAAGATCTAGAAAACTTACCTAACCTGATATAACAAGAATAATTTTACTTTTAGCCTAACTCACTAAATAAATTTTAAGATTTGTTATGTAACAATAATTTAATACTAAACAAACACAGTGAAATTATATATTTTTTCGTTAGGTTCTGAATGATATTTTGGTGAATATATTGCATACACAAATTTTCACTTGTACCTATATGGCAGATGAGCGTTGCTATTAAAGCCGAAGCCACAAGTTCTGCTATTCGGCACGACATATATATATATATATAGTATATATATAATATATATAGTATATATATATATATATATAAAAATATATATATATATATATATATATAATAGAATATGGAAATAAGATCACAGTAATACAGTGATTTATAAAATTATTCAAATACAACCACTGTGAAAGAGTAGTGAAATTTCCAAGCGCTTGCGTGACTACGTCAACATTGTCATGGAACTATGAAAGTAATACATCAAAGTGAAAGTCAATTAAAGGTCATAGACCACACCTCCACAGTCAACTCCCACAACAAGAAACACCAGACTCGCGACAATACCGGACTCATAAGTAATATAGGAACACTGCAAGTAGTCCAACTGGTCCAACTAGACAGTTCCTCACGACAACCCACTAACAAAATATTCACCCAAGAAATAAGGTTATTATTTTGTCCAATGTATATTTAAACGCTAACCAATTTTTATTAATTATAATGAGTCTAAAATATATAAACTAAGGAAATATTCATATTATTTTTCAAAACTGCTTTTAATGAAACAAGATTCAATTATATTCCTGACGACCAAGGGACTTGCTTGATACTACTTTCCCACTTTTTGAAAATCAATTGGATTGGTTAAAATCTCTTACATGAAATAACAGAGCATTGGAATCTTTGTCAGTTCTAATTCTATATTTATGTTGTTTTTAATCTATGTCGAGATTTTACCAGTGACCGTAATGAAACTTTATCTCCGCAAATTTACAAGAATTCTTAAAAGACACATCCATCAGCATTTTTGGGGGAATTTTTATCAAAAGTTTTTTTACTGTATCAAGATTTTTAAATACAACTTTAATATTAAAAGTCTTAAGAGAGAAAGGCAATAGCAATCCGTACCAAGTATTCAATAGTAAGGGGAGAACCAACATATTTTTGTATAGTGTGAATAAGTTGGTTGTCCTTTTGGTTTGTAAAAAGTTTTTCTACAAATATTAAATGATTTTTCATTTACATTTCTCGGGTATTTCAGATCAATTGCTATTTAAAATTTTGGGATATTTCCTTCATCTATGGTACCTGGACAACAAATACGAAAAGCTCTCAAAAACATTGATGAGAAAACAGAAAGTTTTAACTCTATCTGATGGAAAGAATAATAGTGGACATATGAACAGTTATTTGTATGTTTTCTGTAAATTTTAAATTGATTCATTATTACTCTTAATTAATTAAAACATATAGAAAAGGCAATGAGTTATTTTCCCTCAAACTCAACAGTAAAGTTTAATAGAATGGGCTAAGTAATTAATTGCAAGGAAATGGAGATACTCTACATTCTTGGGCATAAGACATAAACGTCATCGGGCTCGGAGTAGCGGGACTCCAAGTTTTGGGCTGTGCTAGTTGTGAAGGGGGGGGTGGGGGAGGAGTGTTGGGGGGTGTCCAAGCACGTTCTGGGGTTTGAGGACAAATGAAATGTGGCGCAGGGTAATGGAGTGGACTAACAGATATCAGGGGTGGAGATGGTTGATTAGTCCCAGATGACCATTTTGAAATTTGGGGGATGGTACGGGGTGGGTGTTAGTTCTTTGGATATTGATGTAAGGAGGGAATTTGATGGGGGGCGGAGGACTAATTGGATTTTTGTTGATGGGGGAGGGGGGTGGAAGGGTGTGGTGGAAATAAGAGGTGGGGGGGGTGTGTGGGGTGAGTGGGTGTGGGGTGGTGTTGTTAGGGATTTGGTTTGATGTATGTTGGGGGGGAGATGTATTATATAATAAAAATTAATAAGTATTCAACAGGAACTTTCCTAAACAAGGAAAAAGTAACAATCAAAACTAACCATGTTAAAAATCGATTTAAGTCAGTCAAGGAGCGTTAATTTATCAAGCACATCTTCAGTTTGTCTTTTAACAATTACGAAAGTTAAGACAAATGTTTGTAACCAACACTAGGGAGGCGTCAAAATGTTAACAAGGCCAGTTTGGACAATTTATGACAAAACTGATCCTATGGAGCTAATAATTGGAACTAATTGATTTACGCTGTTTGTGTTTTTTTATTAGTCCATACGGATGTAAGGGTAAGATTGATGTATGGCAGGCCATTGGCAGAATGATTAAGTGCAAAGGTGCGCGGCAGTAGATGGCCAACCTTGTGAATTTACAATGGCATTTGGACCTGTTGAAGGGATTCCTGCATCTAGAGCAGCTGAATGTGATGACAAGGTGGGGTAAAAATGGGGGGTGGGCTAGGTCGACTGTTGTGGTCACGTTAGTACCAGAAAGGGGTGTTGCAACATGCACCCGTGAAGAGAACGAAGTCATGTGTGGTGCATTTCCATTTAAGTGAGTGCAGATTTAAAACATGTTTTTGAGCAAAAGCAATTAAGAAATCATCAAAAGTGTGTCGTTTGGATAGGGTTGTTTCTTGGAGCCATTTCAGCCTAACGCAGGTCGTTCGATTAGTGATGTGTTACCCAGTAAAATGTCTAGAGGAGACTTTGTCTCACAGAGAAGGAGGGGTGGAGTTGGTGTAGGTGGTGTGTGTGGGGGGGTGTTTGCAACTTCAAAAGATTAGGAAAGGGAGGCATAGGCGGCGAAAGCGAGATAGACAGGAGTGGGCTTGTTTAACATGAGATCATTGCATCATGTCTTCAGTTAGGAAAATCGGTGCCTTCGGGTGGTGACACATTAGTATCGGGAATGCACGTGTTCGTTGTTGCAAGAAAATCTGGCTGGTGGAGGCAGCGGCGGTTATAATGGAGGGATTCTCCATCAGAGGAGCGCAACTCACAATTTATAATTCATGTGTACCAGTGAAACCTATTTATAGAGTAGTGAGCGTGAGGATATGATGGAGAAAGATGGAAGGGGGGTACATGTCCCATGGCAGGTAGTGGCGTATGATGGATGATGGTGAAGCTCCTGGTTGATGAGCGGACGGAGGATTTTGCGAGTTGGGAGTGATCGGGTGTAAAGGGGCAATGATGGAATGGTGGTGAATGTGGAAAGTCTTCCATACTTTAGGTTTGGGGGCATGGGAAATGAGGGTGGAGTGGGTGGACAGGTGGAGGCGGCAGAGTTGTGGTGAGAGTTTGAGGATCTGTGGCATTGTTTGTAGTTGAACAAGAAGAGAAGCGGACTGTAGAGCCTTGCGACCAACCACTCACTACTAACGCAGATGGCGATTGAGATAAAGATGCTATTGTATAGTAAGATATATTGTTTTTTGCCAATGTGTTCCCATTAACAGCACAGGTGATCCAATGTATTCAACAAAGATGTTTTGTTTCTTTGTGGGGTTCAGGGTGTGGATTGGTTGAAAAAGGAGGTGGTCATGATGCCGGTGTGGAGGGGTGGATTGGGTCTTCTGGATTTAAGGTGGCAGGTTAAATGTGTTTTTATACAGCATGAGGTATTGAGGGGAAAGGGTCTCTACGAAAGATGAATTGGGAAGGTCCACGATGTTTGCAAGGCTTGAGCAGGGGGGATGGAACTGCGGGTGAGTTTTGTAAGTGGTATTATGAGTCTGTTGTCATGGCCCGTGACCCAGGAAAAAGTCAGGGTGGGGGTTATGCAAGGGTGCTAGGGGAGGAACATGAGCACTCTGGGGAAGGGGTTTTACCTGTCTGTACGATTAGGGAAGACATATGGAGAAGGTTATAGCAGGTTAAGGGTTGCAACCCTGGTGCATGAGTTCAATGTTTCCTTTTTTTGCAGCCACCCCCCCAATATTGCCATTGGGCGCAGTCCTGATGGGATTTGTGAGGAGAATGGGGTGTAGATGAGTTCGTGGGTAGGGAGTGGAGCAGCCTTCATGTCGTTAAATTTTTGTGAGGGGTTGGAGAGTATCGGGAATGGGTGGGATGGGTAGTGGGTCAGTGGTAGGTGTGAGGGGCGTGTCTGTTTGGGGCACAGAGTTTGGATGTGGAGGGGAAGAGGGTACTGCCGCAGATCTCTGGCTATGTGATGGTGACTATGTTACATCTCATGGAGCCCGAGGGCATTGGATGAGTAGGAGGTGAGGAAGTGTGTTCTGGCAGCAATGTTTATTCATATGTTTCATAGGAACAGTGATATTTATGGGTCTAGGTGGGATGCTTTTCGGCAGGTTACTGTACCCTCACAGTGCAGGATTTGCTTGTGATGTAAGGGGGGGATGGATCAGGTAAAAGACGATGAGCTTACCGTCAGGAGACAGAGGAGTTTTGGTAAGGGGTGAGTGTGTGTGCCGCATCAGTGTGCATGAAGTAAAGGCATAATGTTGTGCCATTGAAATGTTGAGATCATGGGCAGCCTTATCAGTAAAGAGCTTAACTTAGGGTGTGCGTGAGGGACCTGCATTTCATAAGTGTGAGTCAGCACGAGTGGTAATAATGTCTTCTGACTGTGGCAAAGAACTACAGACCGATAGCACTAACATCCCAAATCATAAAAATCTTTGAAAGTGGTCCTCAGAAGCAAGATCGCCACTCATCTAGATACGGGCCGCCGCGAAATACACAACCCAGGTCAACATGTGTTTTAAGCATGTCATTCTTATGCCTGTCTCAACTTACTGGGGCTCACAACGGACAAGGACCCAGATCACTATAAGACAAAAAGAGCGATGCAGATGTAATATAAACAGACTTTGCAAAAGCCTTCCGACCAGTGTGGACCATGGCGGAAATAGCGCAAAAAATGCTTGCTAAAGGGAATAACAGGAAAAGTTGGTAGATGTAACAATAATTTCCTCACAAACAAAGTACAGTGATTATGTTAGGTACACTGAGATAAAGTCCAAGGCTGCTACGGTGAAAGCTCTGTTCCACAAGGCAGAGTACTCGCCTCCCATCTTGTTTCTCATCCTCATATCTAACATAGAACAGAGGATGTCTTCCCATTGCAAGACACTGCAAGGCTCGCAGGCAGTACATCAACAAAATTTTTCAATGGAGCTGCAGAAAACAATATGATAGTTCAACGATGAAAAATTTCAATTACTCAGATTAGGTAAACATGATTGAAATTAAAAATCTTCATCAGTATAGAAACAAATTCCCTTCCACAAAATAGAACGAAACACCAACGTCCCAAAGACCTGGGAGTGAACATGGTCGTGAGGATCTCACCTTCAAGGACATCACATTATATCAATCGCTCTGCTATAAAAGATGACAGGATGGATAATGAGAACCTTTCAAACTAGTGTGATGCCAAGCCCATGATGACACTCTTCAGCCGCTTGTTCTATCAAGCTGGGAATATTGCTGCACACTAACAGCACCTTACAAGACAGGGTGAAATTGAGCTACCATGCGAAATATACAAAGAACCTCACGGCGCACCATAACGATAGATAAAACACCTCAATACACATGGAGCCCTGGTGAAGTTCCTGTGAACCAGTACTCCCTGAATGCAGGCGGAGAGATACATGATTATATACACGCTGGAAAATCCTAGAGATACTAAACCGAACTTGCACACGGAAAATCACTCACAATGAAAGCAAAAGACTCTGCATACGATGCACCAACCCCCCAATGAAGCAAGCGAGGGGTGTACACTAGCACGTTAGCGAGAGATAATACAATAAGTGGTTCAGGGGCCCGAGACTGTTCAGCGTGCCTCCCAGCAAACAAAAGGGAGACTTTACCATCGACCCCAGCGTCTACAGCAAACATTGTGACAAACACCTAATGACGGGAGACTGACCAGTCGGGCTGTGGCTCGTCAAGTTTAATAGTCGAGCAGCCAGCAATAACAAGCCTGGTTGATCATGGGCCTCTGATCCACCGCGGAGGCCTTGTCACAAACCGGGCCGCGGGGCGTTGACCCCCGGCAACACTCTCCAGTAAACTCCAGGTTAGACTGAGGTGCTTGGCTATATTATAGTATATATATAAAATATATCTATAGTATATATATATATATATAAATATATATATGAGTAGGGTATATATATATATAATATAAGTCGTGCCGAATATGAAAAACTGGTCAATTAGCACGAACTCATTTAAAATTAAACCCTTCCTAAAGCGTTTTTCTAGCTATAACTTTTAAAGATATATAATTTCATTAAATTTAAAAGTAAAAAAAATTTAATTTTGTCACCAAAAAATCACATAGCAAACTTACCATACCTTATTCTAACAAGATCAAAAATTTTATTTTACCAAACCCAACTAAATATATTTTAGATTTGTTTGTTATGTTGTTTAAATCTTAGTAAAAATACTCTGCAGTAACATACTCTGCAGTAACTTACTCTGTAGTAACATACTCTGTAGTAACATACTCTGTAGTAACATACTCTGTAGTAACATACTCTGCAGTAACATACTCTGTAGTAACATACTCTGCAGTAACATACTCTGTAGTAACATACTCTGTAGTAACATACTCTGTAGTAACATACTCTGTAGTAACATACTCTGTAGTAACATACTCTGTAGTAACATACTCTGCAGTAACATACTCTGTAGTAACATACTCTGTAGTAACATACTCTGTAGTAACATACTCTGTAGTAACATACTCTGTAGTAACATACTCTGTAGTAACATACTCTGTAGTAACATACTCTGTAGTAACATACTCTGTAGTAACATACTCTGTAGTAACATACTCTGTAGTAACATACTCTGTAGTAACATACTCTGAAGATGGTGAGCGACTTACTGATACTCTGAGTTTTTTAATAAATGTCTATAGAAAAACGTCTTTTCTATTTGATAGCATGTTTAGATAGTAAGATTTATAAGTAGAATATTTACCTTAAAGTCAACATTGGGACATGTTGCCTCCCGTAGCCACGAAGTTCCGTCTCTCTCCTGGAACTTCACTCGCAGACACGGAACTTTCCTGAAGTTTAAGTAACTTTTAACACTACAAAAATTATTAAATATTAATTTCAGTTTGCTGCTACTTATATGTATAACGAGAATATATAATTAGTAAAGTATAAATTTCATTGTAGTGAAAACATGTGAGGTCAGAGGAAGATGACAAAGAAATATTATATATTAAAATCATTAAAACAAAATAAAGGAAAAAATAAGCAAAGATCACTTGCGATATAAGTAAATTCAAAATTAGTATTCTGATTATGTATTATTAGTGATATACCAAAACTCAAAAATATTTTATATGAATAAGAGCCCGGGAAGCATAGCTGTCCACAACAACTTAATGGAACTACACTGGGGTTCCATGTATTTTTTTCCCAGGATGCAACCCACAGCAGCGAGTTAACACAAGTTTCTTCTTAGTGATAACGTTAACACGGGCAAATGGTGAAAGAAAATGTGGTTAACGTTTCTAATTCGAGCCAACAGCAGTACCGCTTTATTTACAACAAGTACATGTACAAGGTACACAAGTACATGTACAAGGTATACAAGTACATGTACAAGGTATACAAGTACATGTACAAGGTATACAAGTACATGTACAAGGTATACAAGTACATGTACAAGGTATACAAGTACATGTACAAGGTATACAGACCATAGCTGACATCAGTGACGTACTACTATATAGAAAGTCACTTGTTATGCTGAGCATTTCCCGCAAATTAGGTCACTTATGTCCCAGGATGCGACCCACACCAGTCCACTAACACCCAGGATGCGACCCACACCAGTCCACTAACACCCATGTACCCATTTTAAACTGATGAGTGAACAGGGACAGGGACAGGAGATTTCTTATGGAAACACGTCCCTAATGTTATCCAGCCGTACCGGAGGAGATTCACACCCCGGACCTCAGTGTGTGAGCTGAGGGCGCTAACGATCCAGCTACGGGACACATGAGCCATTAGCTAATGAATCCACGACAAGAGCAAGTTTTATGAAGCAAAAGCTAAACATAATAAGAGTCACAAGTAACAAAGGAAATACTCGGTATAAGACGCTATGATGGTCAGGGTGTATCAAAAAGGCAGTATTTTGGGTTTTTGGTTATAACACCATAGACTTGATTGTAACTTTGTATATATAACATCAGTAACAATGTAACTTTGTATATATAACATCAGTAACAATGTAACTTTGTATATATAACATCAGTAACAATAAAGATAATCCTCCCACTTATGGATGCATTGTTCAGTAATTTTACAAATAAATATTCATATAAGTTCTTCAGTATAATAATAAACATCGCAATGTTTACTAATTATTTTTATATTATATATATTTCATCTACCTGTGGAGGAGTATGAGCGCTTGTCTAACATGTTCTTCCTGGAGAGGTTCACGTGTCTTAAGATTAAGCCGATAACAGATAAGAAGAGTCCCGTCTTGATGTGCCACTTCACAAAAGTACTCAAAAGGTGCGGCTTCTCTTATCCAAGTTCCATCAAAGTTTTCCATCATTATTGTTTCCTGAGAATAAACAATTTATTTGGTATGAGAAGAAAAAAATATTTATTAGTACCTAAGAAACAGGTTTTCCATTCACTCTCACCTCGACTAATGATGCTTCTTACTACTGTATACTTGAAATAATTTCTTGAGCTCTCTATTGACTATATATCTTAAATAACAGTTATTTTATCTCCTATATAAACAGGATACTGAGCACATTAAGAAATATATAAATAATGAATAATTTGAGTCGGTAAGCCTACTGCAGTGATCATCCTTTCTAATTTATAAAACAATTTATTGATAATTGAGTTATTTATTGCTAGAAATTGTTTGACGAGAGTAAGACGTGCCTAGAATGAGCTACTAAGCAATAGCCTCAATTTTCATACAGGTAAGTAAGTGTTAGCTAACAGTGTTTACGTGAGAGAATGGTAAGGTGACAGCAGGAATGCTGTCTCATGGTGTACTGACACCTGCTACCACATTATCATTGTTTCTACCTGCTTCATACTGAGTACCAGTACCATTATTGTACATCCCATGTTCATCCTGTCAGTGGTAGTACCATTATTGTACATCCCATGTTCATCCTGTCAGTGGTAGTACCATTAATTGTACATCCCATGTTCATCCTGTCAGTGGTAGTACCATTATTGTACATCCCATGTTCATCCTGTCAGTGGTAGTACCATTATTGTACATCCCATGTTCATCCTGTCAGTGGTAGTACCATTATTGTACATCCCATGTTCATCCTGTCAGTGGTAGTACCATTATTGTACATCCCATGTTCATCCTGTCAGTGTAGTACCATTATTGTACATCCCATGTTCATCCTGTCAGTGGTAGTACCATTATTGTACATCCCATGTTCATCCTGTCAGTGGTAGTACCATTATTGTACATCCCATGTTCATCCTGTCAGTGGTAGTACCATTATATACATCCCATGTTCATCCTGTCAGTGGTAGTACCATTATTGTACATCCCATGTTCATCCTGTCAGTGGTAGTACCATTATTGTACATCCCATGTTCATCCTGTCAGTGGTAGTACCATTATTGTACATCCCATGTTCATCCTGTCAGTGGTAGTACCATTATTGTACATCCATGTTCATCCTGTCAGTGGTAGTACCATTATTGTACATCCCATGTTCATCCTGTCAGTGGTAGTACCATTATTATACATCCCATGTTCATCCTGTCAGTGGTAGTACCATTATTGTACATCCCATGTTCATCCTGTCAGTGGTAGTACCATTATTGTACATCCCATGCTCATCCTGTCAGTGGTAGTACCATTATTGTACATCCCATGTTCATCCTGTCAGTGGTAGTACCATTATTGTACATCCCATGTTCATCCTGTCAGTGGTAGTACCATTATTATACATCCCATGTTCATCCTGTCAGTGGTAGTACCATTATTGTACATCCCATGTTCATCCTGTCAGTGGTAGTACCATTATTGTACATCCCATGCTCATCCTGTCAATGGTAGTACCATTATTGTACATCCCATGTTCATCCTGTCAGTGGTAGTACCATTATTGTACATCCCATGTTCATCCTGTCAGTGGTAGTACCATTATTGTACATCCCATGCTCATCCTGTCAGTGGTAGTACCATTATTGTACATCCCATGTTCATCCTGTCAATGGTAGTACCATTATTGTACATCCCATGTTCATCCTGTCAGTGGTAGTACCATTATTGTACATCCCATGTTCATCCTGTCAGTGGTAGTACCATTATTATACATCCCATTGTTCATCCTGTCAGTGGTAGTACCATTATTGTACATCCCATGTTCATCCTGTCAGTGGTAGTAACATTATTGTACATCCCATGCTCATCCTGTCAGTGGTAGTACCATTATTGTACATCCCATGTTCATCCTGTCAGTGGTAGTACCATTATTGTACATCCCATGTTCATCCTGTCAGTGGTAGTACCATTATTATACATCCCATGTTCATCCTGTCAGTGGTAGTACCATTATTGTACATCCATGTTCATCCTGTCAGTGGTAGTACCATTATTGTACATCCCATGCTCATCCTGTCAATGGTAGTACCATTATTGTACATCCCATGTTCATCCTGTCAGTGGTAGTACCATTATTGTACATCCCATGTTCATCCTGTCAGTGGTAGTACCATTATTGTACATCCCATGCTCATCCTGTCAGTGGTAGTACCATTATTGTACATCCCATGTTCATCCTGTCAATGGTAGTACCATTATTGTACATCCCATGTTCATCCTGTCAATGGTAGTACCATTATTGTACATCCCATACTCATCCTGTCAATGGTAGTACCAATATTACACATCCCATGTTTATCATGTGAATGGTAGTACCATTTTTTTTAATATTTTATTTAAAACATTATAAATTACAAGGTGGTATAAATATTAAATAACACCACAATACAGGATCTGGACAAGATTACTAAGAATCATGTCACAAGTGCAAGAGAAAAATTTTTGAAAACCCAATACAAAATAGAAAAGTGTAACAAACACACAAAATAAAAAAATATCATTCACTGACACATTATACAAAATGATAAAATATCTGACTCATACCACAAAACTGTTGGAGGGGGGGCCCCCCCCATGAAATCCAATCATAAATACACCCCACCCTTTACCCACTTACGATCACAGCAGGATCAAACATAATTTTTTAAACTTTATAAAAACAAAACCCGGGTTAGAGATATTACTTAAGAACAAACTCGGGTAATTATTCCTAAAACTTACTCATAACAAAACAACTTTAAATAAAAATTAACATGATCATATAAATCATCAACAACGCAAAATTTATACAGCAATGTATAATTTTGGGAAGCTTGAGATCACAAGTATTACTCCCAGCAGAGTCCACCCCCGTAAAATATATAAATATGTAACAAACCCCAAAAATATAACACACCTTTCACGACACACTAACAAAACAATAAAATATCTGACTCATACACAAAAAACTGCGGGGGGGATCCCCCCCTTAAACCCATCATAATACAGCCAAAACCTTTCGCACACTATTGACACAGCGTTTTTCAAACAAAATTTATGAATTTTATATAAACATCAACGATTATAAATTTTAACTTAAGAACAAAGTCTGGAAATTACCTTCAAATTACTCTAAAACAACAATAAAAAAATTACATAACCCATAAACATCAACCTGCAAAGATTTTACACAAACGTTGCTCACAACCAAACTTAAAAACTTTAAAAAAGTGAGGAAAACAAATTATGTAAAAACAATATAAAAGCCATAAAGAGGAAAAAAATTCCTACAAATTTTCAAAAAATACTGCAAAATAAAATACCACAAAGTTATTTTTGCAAAAACTGGTAACTAACAGGGACACTGACTTCATAACTCTCTTTTAATTTTCCCAAGGACCTAATTTTAAACAAATCTTGGTTTATAAAACCCTTTCTCAAAAACTTACATGCAACACAGCACCCGCAGTACATATTTCCCCCCTCACATTCCTTCGAAAAAACTTTCCCCTCACACCTCACCCCCAAAAACAATTTCCCCACTTATAAAGGAAAACCATCCTTTACGTAAATTACTCCCAAATGAATGGGGCCTTTGACCTAAGTTGCAGTGGGTCCCCGGGAGAACGTGCCTCCACTGTCCCCCGTAAATAATTTTGTTTCCTGCAAACTACTCTATATATGCCCCGCAATTTGCCCAAATTTCCTAATTTTTTCCCCCCCCCCCTGCCCCTCCCCCCCCGGGAAAATAACGAAAATCCACCACCATACAAACGCCCCTTTCCTTCTCTAGACCCCCCGTACTTCTAATGTTAAGGCTCGCAGGTCTCTACTTTACCCCCACCCACAACCAAAAACCCTTTCGCTAATCACACCCTTAACCTCCCCAACCTTCACAGAAAAAACCGCATAAAACTTTTCCGTTCCCACATTTCGCAGGTCTTTCCCTCACCAATCCCATTGAACAAAAAACAGCTTTCGATGCAAATCCCCTTTTATAAACCTATATACAAACTCCCGTACCCCTCGGCTTAACTTAAGTTTTCCAAAGTCATTCCAATCATCCCCCAATCATAAAAGGGATAAACTGATACCCCCGAAGTTTTCCCGGCCTCCTGCTCATCGCCCCCAAACGCCCCACCAATTTTTTGCCACCTCCCTAATCAAAAACAAAACCTCAGCATACCCCCGCTTTTAAATTAATTCTTTCTGCTCCACCATCCCCCGGGCACATCCTCCATCACTTTCCCCACTCAAACCCCCTTTTACCCCCCTGCCCTAACGAACCTCTTTTTCACAAAAAGGGGCCTTTTCACGCTAAAAGGCCTAAACCTCCACTGCGAAATTGACATCAGGGTTACAAACATGCTTGCTTCTGCTTTTTTTTTAAAAACTGGGGTTGAGTTTTGAAGGGGGAGGTCTTGCTTCCCCGGGAGGAAAATTAGGAGGCTGAAGGTCCACCTCAAGGGGCCTGGGAGGAGTGGAGGTGGTTGAGATGTGGGAATGAGGCTTTAGCAGTGGGGTGCAGTCTGCCTCACTGTGAGACTGAGGGGGGAGTACAAGGGCTACCAGCATGGGGTGCACCCAGCACCTGCAAAAAGTGGCGATTTGTTCACATAATGGGGCGCATCAGAGAAAGGGAAATTTAAAGAGGAAGATCTGAAGGTAGGAAATCGCTTCTTCTGTTCCCGGGATAATTTTACTCAGTGGCCATGAAGGAAAGGGGTACACTGCCCCGCTAATGAAGGTAACGCATTCTTGTGGTGTGACTCTCGGTAAGATATTTTGACCGCTTTTGTAATAGGAAAAAAAAGATAAAGATAGAGTGTGCTTCCCCGGGAGCGGTTTTGGGGACATTGTCAACGGGCGGGATAATACATGTCAGAAATGGAAACAAGCCCATATCTGTCTCAGTGTGGTGGAAATAAATTTTGGGGAAAGGGGTAGGAGAGAAGAGCTGCAAATAATAAGTCAGCTATAATTTC